AAATTTCAATGCGATATTATAAGTATATATATTTGCTAGGATTGGGTCCACTCTGAATTAGAGATCTTTGTGTATATCGATCTTATTTCAGGCCATTCCACAAAGTCAATTGAAAAGTAGGAAAGAGGGGAAAAAATTATGCTATCCTAGATTCTTTTTTTTTCGCCATAGCCCTCCAAACCACCACCCAAATTCGATTACTATATATATTTTGACCAACTTTGAACTTGGTGCCATCGTGTCAGGGTATCTGTGTGCTCAAATTCATGGTGATGAGACAGAATGGATTGATTTGAAAACTGCAAAGGAGGCCTATCCAATTCAGGTGGCCGAATATGCTGTTGCTAACAAACTTGTGTCTGAGCCTGCTTTCTCTTGGTGGGTTCCTTATACTTTGAAGAAGCGTGATAGAATTCTAAAGGCTGTGAAAAGAAGAGCCTTAACTCGCAAGACTGAGAAATTTGGTTTAGAATTGCCTGGTACTGGTCCAAAAGGCGTGAGACGTGCCTACAAGATTGACGCCAACACTGGTAGCAATCATTGGGGAAATGCTATTGAAAAGGAAGTTAAAACCGTGTTGCCTGCCTTAAGAATCTTGGGACCAAATGAACCTGTTTCCCCTGGATATACTTGTATTGACTTGATGACTGTCTTTGATGTCAAGATGGACCTCACACGAAAGGCCCGGATATGTGCTCGAGGGGACCAAACTGATCCTCCTCTCTCGGTAACGTATGCCAGTGTTGTCACTCGTGAAAGTATTTGTATTGGATTCTTGCTTGCTTTGTTAAATGGTTTGGATATCTTGTCTGCTGACATTGCTGGAGCGTATTTGAACGCGCCTTGTGCTGAGAAGATTTACACAGTACTTGGACCCGAGTTTGGAGACCTTGAGGGTCGCACTGCTGTTGTGGAGAAAGCACTCTATGGATTAAAATCGTCCGGGTTCTCATGGAGATCTACGCTTTCTAAGACTCTGAGAGAAGAAATGGAGTTCGAACAGTGTCGTGGTGATATGGATGTTTGGAGAAAACCCGCCTTGAAGTCAAACGGCGAAAAATATTACGAATATATTTTTGTTTACACTGATGACCTTATGGCTGTTTCTGAAAATCCCCGTGCTATATTGGAGAAGCTTGGAACGCATTACATGCTCAAGCCTGATTCAATTGCAGAGCCTACAACATTCCTTGGTGCAACAATTTCAAAACGTTTTGTTGACCCAAGTGATTCTAACCCTAACCCTAACCCTAACCTCACATCAAAAATACAACTTGAATTTGAAAAGAAACGTGTCTGCTGCCTTACCTTCTGGTTATAAGCCTGAGCTTGACAACACTGATTTTGTTGACGCAGAGACACACACACTGTATATGCAACTGCTTGGTATATTACGGTGGTTGGTTGAGCTTGGAAGAATGGACGTTTGTGCTGAAGTCTCAATGATGTCTTCGTACAATGCCATGCCTCATGTTGGACACTTTCATGCGGTATTACACCTTTTTGGTTATCTTGAAACATATCCGAGTTGCAAGATTGTCATGGATTCTGCATATATGGCTCTGACCGACATACCAAAATCTGAATGGCATGAGTTCTATCCATGGGCAAAAGCAGTACTGCCTCCTGATATGCCAGAAGCCCTTGGACGAGCTGTAAAGATTGTGATGTTTGTTGATGCCTCACATGCTTCCAATCTTGTTACACGTCAATCCAGAACAGGTGTTCTTATCCTCTTAAATCATGCACCGATCGTTTGGTATTCAAAGAAGCAGAATGCTG